CATATGTACAAATGTGCTTGACACAATGAATGTATGTATGTATTGTGATAAGAGTGGTATGAACCCCCAATAAAATGATTTTTTTAATGTGCTGATAAACTCGACTTATACACAAGTATATATGGTATGATCAATATTACACACACCCTGCCTCACCCCCACTCCCCACCCCTCACCCCTCTGCCACCAAAACACTTGGCAGTCAGTATTCAATTATGGTGCCTAATGTAAAAAGCTAATGTCACCGGAGTTTGAATTGCCCAGCCTGTACACCAACCTTCTCCCATGTGGTCATAAAACTAGGGAGATGTCATTCCTTACCAGAAAATCCCACGCTCTCGTAACTCAGGTAGGAACTGGCCCAGGTAGTTTTGGAAAATTATCTTAGACTCCAACCACAGTTTAAAACCAGAATTCCATTTGGAAGCATAGCTTGAGAAAATGCAGAGCCAAAGAGTGGCAGCTCAGAAGAGCTTTTGTGTCCCCCTCCAGGCCACCTGCCAGGTAAACTCTGCACTGCTAACGGGCAAGGTTGGTAGTTTAAACCCCTAGCCACTCATCGGAAGAGAGATGAAGCCTTTTGCTCCCATCACAAGGGAAAGCCTCTGAAACTATGGAGGGTCACTCTGAGTCAGGACTGACCCCCTGCCAGTGGGTTCTTCTTGGCTCCAGCCCGCCGTGTGCATGAAGCATTTGGAGTAGAGAGCACCATACAGCAGAGCCATTCACTCCCTACATATCTATGAGCTGCAAGTGATCGTCCCAGACCAGGTCAGGTTTGTAGAAGGAACCCTTGGCAGTGGAAAAGGAGAGCTACTCACCCTCCATGTCACTAAGTTCAGTGTCATGAAGACTAGGATCTAGCACCATTCTCTGGCTTGGCATGCCCAGATGTTTCATTCAGCCAAGAAACCCCAATTTCAGAAATTCAAAATACTTCTAGGGAAATTGTAATCTTTAAGTTTTTCAGAGAAATAACTGAGACAAGGGTAAGAGCTATGCAATCCCTCACTGGTTCCATATCCAGCCCTCCCCATGTAGACAGGGTGAAAGAGCAAAGGAGCCATGGGGAAAATGAAAACGGTGCCACGTTGGGGCTCATTAGCGTGCAGAAGATGTTTATGATTTTCCTACCTGGGGTCCCTGCTCAGTGGTGGGGTCAAAGGGACTCCCCACTATGCGCCTCTTGGCCCGCTCCACGCTTCTTCTCACAAACTCCTCGTAGATGGGCTCCTCCACAAAGATGCGCGAGCCCGCGGTGCAGCACTGGCCTTGGTTGAAGAACACCCCTTGGTGAGCCTGCTCCACGGCATAGTCCACTACAAGAAAGAGCCACCTTCTCAACACTGCTTTGCCTGCAAGGAGCTGCCTACAGAGCCCTGGCCTCCTCTGTGACCGTATCACAGAGTAAGACGGAACGTCAAACCAAAGGCCAGCTGTCAGCCTGCCAACTTAGAGTGGACACTCTGATTGAAAACTCAACTTCACAGTCAGTTCTAACTAGACTCTGACCTGACTTTCTCTGGGAACTTAGATCATTTGGCTTCTTTGAGCCTCTTTATTCAGTAGAGATATTGGATAAGATCATCTATAACCAGAGTCTCAAATTAGTTCATGTAAAGGTGTGAATCCAGCCAGGTGTAACACACTATGACAGAATCTAAGAAACGAAGCTATAAGTCTAGCTGGCTGTTGCTCTGTATGATTTTAAATCCGGGATTGTCAGATCTTTCCATTTTTAAGAAGAAAAAAAAAGAAATCAGTATTTTAAAAATATGCAATCACTGCCTACATTTCTTTTAAACACCAACAAAGCATTGTGTAGACCAAACAAGGCAAATCCATTCGACATTTGGCCTGGGGACTGCCAATTTTCAGCCCCTAGCCCTCAGACCCTTCAATGTTTAATTAGTATTTTGGTAAATTACACCAAATATTTTTACCCAAATAATGTGGGTGCTAATACAGTTTCACAAGCCATACAATCCCCTCCCACGTTAGTTTCTTCCTGTGTGCACCATGTGAGTCAGTTGAGTAGTGTGTTATATGCAAGGAAAAAATGGTAAACATCAGCAATAGCTCTTCTTTGAAAGCCCTAAATTAATTCCCTTCTAGGATGGAATTCTGTAACAGAATATAGCAACTATTTCATTTTCATCTGTTTTGTACTCCAAGACAGTATTAATGAACCCAACATGTTCTAGTTGCTACATGACCAACTGAATAAACAGAACAAACCGATGTCTGTCAGGTCAACGGTGCCTACTCCTCCAGGTGAATTCAGGTAAATTCTAAAGGCTATGACAGTGCAACTAAAGCTGAATTCTGCGGAGCCCAAGCTGGGGCTGAAATGCAAGCTATCTGATTTCTTTCTTTCTTTCTTTTTTAAATTTTCAGGTGGTAAAATTGGGAAAGCAGCTCGGCCCGCGAGGTATGAGGGGAAGAGTGATTAAAGGAGATTTTGGAATCCCATTCCCTGAAGAGCTTTTACTCTCAGAGAGACCACATGAGGTGGCATCCTGCTTGGAGACTTGGGACTGCCTTGGTCACTGCTCGAAGGCTCCTTGAGTCCGACTGCTCTGTCATACTAACTGACAAGTCAACGGGAGGGAGGGGTTGGGATGGTGGAAAAGGAAGGGAAAATACTGGTAGCACTGCTGACTGGGTTTTCTTTTGACTAATCTACCAAGCTACTAGGCACAGTCCAGAGGCTTTAGACTTGCTGAAACTAAGCAGACACTGGATTTCATGTGTTCCAGAGGCCGAGACCATGCTTTGTCTACTGTGCAAAACTGACCAAGCCTTCCCCTTACATTGCATTCTACAATTTCCCAGCATCAAAATGACTCAGACAAATCTGTAAGGCAGATTCCTTGTTCTGCTGTTGATTGATAACTGCTCTTTCCTGAACACAAACTGTTTTCTCCTCAGAAACAAGGAGTCTGTTGAAGCAAGATTCACTTGTTCTCGAATGGAACAATTGCGCTCTTTAGCTTACAAAACTTTTTTCTTAGTGCCTTATCCAAAGTGGAAAAACTAAGAAAGCAACAAAAGAGTAGCTTAGCAGGAGCATATCCGGGGTGTGTGTGTCTGTGGTTGACTTACAATCAGCATCTGCAAAAATAATATTGGGACTTTTCCCTCCAAGTTCCAGAGTTACTCTCTTCAGATTACTTCTTCCAGCTGCCTCTTGGATAAGTTTTCCAACCTGAAAGTAAGAAAAGGGAGAGAGGTCACCTACATCTTCCGGTCCAGTCAGTGGACACAGCTGGCTCTGAGCAACGAGGGAAGGGTAGGAGCACGTCCAGTAAGATGAACGTACCACTGAGTGACACGGAGATGGCTCAGGATGATCAACCCGGGTGCACAAGGTAGAAGTGAGGTGGGAAGCAGTTAATACCCATGCTGCTTTGCTTTCATGATGGATGGAACGAAAAGGGGGAACAAAAACTAAAATCGTCATCCCTGAAAGATTGCTTCTAAAGACAACTAACAGCCAAAGTAGTGGTAGAAATTTGTCACTGTCTGGCCCCAGTAAAGGCAAATTGGCCTCACTTAAAAGACATGATAGTTGTAAAAGAAAATGGTCAACAGTTCCTCAAAATACCAGGTACGACTTTTTATCCATCCATGGTTTACGCCTCTGCCTTTGTCTAGGGTTACAGGAAAAGGACTCCAGGCAGCTGAAGATTTGTTTTTACTGATGCGTTGTTATCAATGTCTATTTATTAAGAAGCCAACTAAGTAGGCTAAGTTTGGGAAAAGCGTTTGTCATTGAGCAAAGTCACGTTTCCAATGAAAATGAAACTGCCAAGAGGAAACGGGGAAGCATGGCCTAGACCCACCTGCGGACGGACCGAGCGCTCCGCTCCAGGCGCTGGGCGTGGCGGCAGGGTTTGCCGGAAGCAAGGGGGGGGGGGGGGGTCTGCTGTCACCTGGCAGAGCATAGCCAACGACTGATTGTGGCGGGCGTGTAAGACTGCGCCCTTACGAGAGAGGGTTGGAAAAGGGGAACCGATTACAAGGATCTATACATGACCTCCTCCCTGGGGGACGGACAACCGAAAAGTGGGTGAAGGGAGACATCGGACAGGGCAAGATATGACAAAATAACAATTTATAAATTATCAAGGGCTCATGAGGGAGGGGGGAGGGGGGTAAAAATGAGGAGCTGATGCCGGGGGCTTAAGTGGAGAGCAAATGTTTTGAGAATGACGAGGGCAATGAATGTACAAATGTGCTTTACACAACTGACGTATGTATGGATTGTGATAAGAATCCTATGAGCCCCTAATGAAACGATTTTAAAAACAACAACAAAAAAGAAGTGTGCCCTTTCATGGAGCCACCAGACAGCGCCAAGGGACCACACACTCCTCCCTCCACACCCAGGTGTTTGGCTGAGGCTGGTCCGGGCCATGTGACAGTGGGCCTTCCTCCGTGTGTCCGTTTCCCTCGGCAAGGATTCCAAAGACGTTCACTGAATACTTCCAGAAAACCCGATCTGTAACCAAGTGCTGTTCCACTCGAGCTCAGCACTTGTTTTATAGAAACCACTGAGCCGCCCTGCAGACCCTTACAGGCAACTTGTTGGTCTTGTTGAAGTCAAAATGCGTTTAATGCATGAGATGGAATTCTATGGGGGAATTTAACCACTTAAAGAGCCTGGAGAATAGAAATCCTAAATATATGTTTGATTCTCACTGGTCCCTTGTTGGGGTCCTCCGACAGCCCTGATGACTCCCTGGGAGTTCAGAGCCACCGGGAAGAACACAGACTTTGGAGCCAGACTGGCTGGGTTGTTTTTGTTGGATTTTTTAACTGGTTTGATCATTTACTAACTGTCTGACTTTAGGAAACTTACTTCACTTCTCTGAATTTTGGCTACCTCCTCTTCCATCAGTGCCTAAAACCAAAGCACATTTGTTCTGGAGAAGTCTGCTGCCCACAGACATGGGAGCCCTCTGTCCATCTCGCGCCATGAAGCAGCCCCCAGGCTGTCTTGAGCGCTTGCACACAGATTTCTGACCACTAAACTTCAAAGGTAACCAGGAGAAGTCTTGGGGAGGCACGGAGAGGTAGAGTAGCCCTATCAGTGTCCTCGGGAAATTTGGAAAGGCAGTCAGACGTAGTTTGCCTATGGGAAAAATGGGTTATTTGCGCACACACACACACACACACACACACACACGATTTAGGGGGGTTGCCAAAGGGGGCTTTCTTGGAACTAGACGGGACAGTTTTCATTTTTTAAAACCTCCCTATTCTGGCCCATCGCATCAGTAAAAGGAATTTCCTAACTATTGTTACCGTAAACCTTGTATGAGAGATGTCTAGAGAAGCATGTATTAGCAATTAACTGCCATGACAGGAATAAGCCTGCCCTGCCTTGTGTACACATGCATTGGTTTGGTGCGGGGCTTCGCACTCAGGCACCCGGCGCTGTGAGGCTGGGCCGGTCCGATCCTTTCCTCTCTCCTCGGACTGCATGTGCCAAACAGCATTTGTTTTCCTCACTCTCCTATCGTTGGGGTCATTTTCCCCTGGGACCATATTTTGGTGTGGTTATGCCGGATTTTCTAAAGCAACAGAGCAAGTCAATCCTGAGGAGCCTCCAAGGATGGTCCTAACTTCTGGACCCCACTTGATGGCACTCCTTGTCCTTCAGCCCTACGATGGACGTGTTCTCAGAGAAGGTGCCGTTAGTCTTCGCTTCTTCTTCTTCATGTCTTGATGTTTTATCTGGCATGTTGCTTTGAAAATCAGTTGTTTAAGAAGAATCGTTCAGATTTTTACTTGTTCTTGATTAAAGAATGACAGCTAGTGGTGCAGTGGTTACGAGATGGGCTTCTCACTGCCAGGTCAGCAATTCAAAACCACCGGCTCCTCCGGAGAAAGATGAGGCTTTCTACTGCTGTAAAGAGGTACGGTCTCCGAAACGTACAGGGTCAGTCCTACGCTGCCCCATAGGGTGACTCGACAGCAGTGAGGTTGTTGTTTTTCAGAATCTACTGAGAGCAAATACCTCTTATTAACGCTTTGGATTCTGCTGCTCTTTTCCCTGAGAAAGAAGGAGTGCGGCATGATGGCTCTGAACTGACAGATCAAGTCCTGACACCAAGAGGAGCGATTCAGGAAGCGCCTCTGGATGACTCTTTGTAGTTTTACTTGTAATATGTTTCAGTGACAATATGTAGGTACTCCCATTGTGTGGAGCTACGTCATGTCAAAATGCCACTTGTGGTGGCATTTGTGGTGAAAAAGCTTATTGGAAAATATTTTCCCCACGAGGTGCAACTCTGACTCTTCGAAGTGACAGAGGTTCGCCATTTACTGGCAGTTCGTAATATTTTCCCATTTTATGTAGATTGCACTGCCCACAGAAACCTCGACATCTTCTGCACTGGGTTAAAGAATAAATGGATGGATAAAGGTCCAGTGAGCTCAATTTACTGTCTCCTGAACTCTGACGTTGCCTCTTTCTATTGAGCAAAAGCATCTACAGTTTATTCCTTTTACTCTTCACAATTGAACTCCATTTAAGATTGTCCAAGGGCATATTATGTCTCTTCCTTACAATACTATAGTCTTTAGCTTTATGTTCATTTCCAGTAGCTTAGCTAAGCACTGCCTAAGGTTGACAGAATGTGTTAAGGCAGATGAAGTAATTAGCATGCTTATGCTAAGGCTTTTCTCCGATTTCATCATGAGAGCTTTGGTGCTTCCAGAAGCTGGTGGCTATGTATACTGGTAACAACACCAGATGAAAGATTCTTTGGAACCTAAATGTAAAGGCTCTTATTTAGTTTTATGAACACATAAATTTGCTTCGAAAGTACAGGGTATGCCATCCTGCACACCTTTCTCAGTTAAAGAAGACCAGAGTCCCTGATTGGGTAGCTGAGCTAGCTGGAGGACTGAAGCCCTCCTAAAACAACTGACCAATCTTTCCTCTGACAAGGGACTGACAAATACCATGATTGTCCTCACATGTGCTTCTTGATACAACTTTCTTTTCCATCCCGTATTAATAGATTATGATCTACATGATGCTGATTGTTTATTCAGTTATCTTTTGTTCTATGATAGGGACAGGTGCTTGAAATTGGAATGCTTTCATTAAGACTGTCCCAGTCTGTAGCAAGTTCTGGTAATCTAACATTGTGCTGACTTTGTTAGAAGGACTGACCCTCCTACTTCCAAAACCAAACTCAGTGCCATCAAGTCAATACTGCATCATAGCAGCCCTGTAAGTCGGAGGATAACTGTCCCTGTAGGCTTTTTGAGACGGTAACTCTTTACAGGAGTAGGCAGCCTCATCTTTCCCCTGAGAAGCAGCTGGTAGTTTCCAACTGCTGACCTTGTGGTTAGCAGCCCAACATGTATCCAATATGCTACCAGGGCTCTTACACTAGTTAAAAGTATCCCACTATCATTGATAGTAAATTTACGTGGGCAATCTTTGGTTTAGATTCTTGGCAAATGTGTGCACAACGTACTTTGGGAACTTTGGAATTCTTTAGATATTCATAGTGAAAATGCTAGTAAATATTGGAAAAGTGATGCCAAATCATTAAATATGAGGGGGTACTGCCCCCCC